GACCCTGTTCAAACCGATAGATATTTGTATCGGAATGTACAGGACCCATAGTTGGGATTTATGGTTGTTCTATAGGGATATCCACTAGGGTGATTCATTTCCGCAAAAAACTTTTTTTTTCTCGGCGCTCAAGCAAAATATTAATCTACCTATAGAAAAAAAAATTTCACCAAGGTAGAGCTCTTAATATCAATTTTAAGTACTTGCAGTTTAAATTTAAAGTTTTCCCATTTAAAATGCATGTAAAAAAAATGTTTTTTTTTTCAAATTTCTAATGCTCGCCCGCTCTTTACAATATTGTGAATCGGTTTTATGGACCTTATAGGGAATTTCACGCTCTTCAAAATTGTCTTTGTGTTTTTTGTGTAACTCGTAGTGGTTCGCCAGTAGGAGTCATCAAAGTTCGATTTTTTGAATGAACATTTTTTTTTGCAATTTTTTTTTAACAATTCGCAAAAAATAGTGAAAAAAAGAGCTGAATCGTAAAAAATAGTCTTTTAACAAATATTTGATGAATTTACGGCCATTTTTATATCTTAAAACGTAAGTAATTGATAAATATTAACCAATTATGCTATTTAAATTAAACTTTCTTATTTACTATCGATATAATTCTCTACAACAATAACTTTTCCAGAGTTATTATGATTTTTGACTTATATAAATATAAAAAAACACATTAATTTATAAAAAACAACAAATATACAATTCCAACTTAGATTCTGCAATTTTTCAACATTTCCGTAATATACCTACATAGCAATAAACACAGAACATAAATATAAATGAAGGTTATTCAATTTTTTTAACAAAATTCTTAAATTAACGAAAAAGTAAATTGTTTTTATTGTCAACTTCATTTGCTTCAATATTGTATAAGTAGAAATTGGGTCAGAAATTCTCAAACGGGCCACCTGAATAAGGTCAAAATTAGTTTTTGATTGTAGATACATTTTTTCGATAGTATTTTACATCACTAACACAAATCCTAAAGGATTTTGTAAAAAAAAATTTTCAATTGACATATTCATGATATTAAAAGTAAAAGTTTTTAGTAATTAAAAAATAAAAAAAAATCATTATGGCTAAACTAATTATCCGATTCCAACGATTTAACTAGCGTTGGAGTCTTGTTTTGACATAGATTCTTTGTTATTTTTTTCAATTGTACAATTTTCATTTAGGACGATTTTTTTTTGTTTTTTTTATAACAAATTCGGAAATAATTGGCTTCTGCGCCAGCTATCGACTCGAAAAAAAAAACACATATACTCCAATCATTTTTCGAAATTATGCTGCTGAGAAAAAAAATGGCCCGCAGGTTCCAGACCACCGTAAGACCTCGCGTCACAAGCGCGTACAGCGTACACGGTTCGGAGCGTGAGCTGACACCGCGCGCGGCCACAAAAGGACGAATAACTTTTTGTCAACCTGCGGGCCATTTTTTTTCTCAGCAGCATAATTTCGAGAAATGATTGGAGTATATGTGTTTTTTTTCTCGAGTCGATAGCTGGCGCAGAAGGCAATTATTTCCGAATTTGGTATAAAAAAAAACAAAAAAAAATCGACCTAAATGAAAATAGGACAATTGAAAAAAATAACAAAGAATCTATGTCAAAACAAGATTCCAACGCTAGTTATATCGTTGGAATCGGATAATTATTTCAGCCATAATGAATTTTTTTATTTTTTAATTATTAAAAACTTTGACTTTTAATATCATGAATATGTCAATTGAAAATTTTTTTTTTACAAAATCCTTTAGGATTTGTGTTAGTGATGTAAAATACTATCAAAAAAATGTATCTACAAACAAAAACTAATTTTGACCTAATTCAGGTGGCCCGTTTGAGAAATTCTGACCCAATTGCTATTTGAATAATTGCACTAAATAATATTTTGATAATTATTTGATTGGGAAAGCAACTGTTACAATTTTATGATTGCTCTAGTTAATTAGTAGGTATGACGTTAGCGACTCTATTGTCTTTGTAAACGGGTTTGATGCTTTATGTTATACAAAGAACAAAGTAGGTACGCCTGCAATTTATTTTTTACGGGCACGCTAGTGACGTAATAGATAAAAAACGTCATCACTGCCGTGCCGCTTAATTTAAAATTGGCGGCACAACAATAATATAATAATAAATTGTACCTGTATACATGTTAAGGGCATGTTAGTTACGTCATAAAATAAAATCTTAATTTGCTTTGTATAAAAGTCGAAATAATTTAATATTTATCAACTTGTTTATTTATGACTATTGAGATTTTTATTAAATTTGCAATTTATTATCTAATAATGTAATCTGTTATTTGTTTTGATTAAAGTTTTGTTGTTTTTTATGAATTGATGTGTTATGTTTATATTTATTTTTAGTCAGAAATCACAATAACTCTGAAAAAGTTATTGTTGTAGAGAATAATATTATATCGATAGTAAATAAGAAAGTTTAATTTAAATAGCATAGTTGGTTAATATTTATCAATCAAGATATAAAAATGGCCGTAAATTCATCAAATATTTGTTAAAAGACTATTTTTTACGATTCAGCTCTTTTTTTTTAACTATTTTTTGCGAATTGTTAAAAAAAATTGCAAAAAAAAAATGTTCATTCAAAAAATTGAACTTTGATGACGCCTACTGGCGAACCACTACGAGTTACACAAAAAAACACAAAGACAATTTTGAAGAGCGTGAAATTCCCTATAAGGTCCATAAAACCGATTCACAATATTGTAAAAAGCGGGCGAGCATTAAAAATTTGAAAAAAAAACATTTTTTTTACATGCATTTTAAATGGGAAAACTTTAAATTTAAACTGCAAGTACTTAAAATTGATATTAAGAGCCTCACCTTGGTGAAATTTTTTTTTTCTATAGGTAGATTAATATTTTGCTTGAGCACCGAAAAAAAAAAACTTTGCGGAAATGAATCACCCTAATATCCACCCTTGATTTATTTGCTATTGGTTCCAATAGGAAAAATACACATAAATGTAAATGTAGAAATTAGTTTTTCCCCCATAGGACCCCATAGGTTTTAATAAAATGTTGTCAAATGTTTTATGGTTGTTCTACAGGGATATCCCTATATATCCTTCATTGAGTTATTTGCTATCGGTCTCAATAGGGAAAATGTATAAGTTATGGTGTGCCTATAGGTAATTTCCTATAAATTTTCTATCGGGCCGTATCCGGAAAAAAACAAGGACAAATGCACATATTGAATCCGGTAGGGCCCGATAGATTATTTTGTATAGGTCTCTATGGGGTATTTTAAGCAGGGAGTTGAATTGTACCACTAGCCTTACTTTGTTCATCGAGTACGACCCCTTCAAATTCGAGGATGCTCTCAGCAAGGTAGGTGTAGGTGTAAGATGTTTTTATCGGGATTACCTGACTTATTTAAACTTGAATTTGCATAAGGCAAGTAACTATGATACTATTTACTGATAATTGAATTATCTGTCTTCTACCTTTAAAATGTTAATTTTTGTTGTATCCTTGACAAGTACACAATAGTAGTAGTATTCTTCATCAAGCACTGGACACAAATATTCTGAATAGTCGACACCAAAATTTGTTTTTTTTTTTTATTTTCCAGCAATTTTAACGCAACAACTTAAAGCCCAATGATTTTAAAAAATTACTTTTTACCGATGTCAACACTCAATGCTTATTTTGCACACTGACAGCTCCTTTTCTCGTATTTATTCTATATGAAGATGTTAAGGGTTAAAGGGTATTGTTGTTATATTTCATCACCATTTTACTTTTTTTAAATGCACATGCAAATTACCGTCTTGGTCGGTTATTTTAAGAATAATTTCATCCAAATAACAAGTGTTGATTGGTAGATAAATTACATTGAAGGAGGATTCAACAATTTTATAACCTGGTACCATACCGAAAGTTTATCGTTGTTGTATGAATTAGCAGTCAAATTGCATTCTATTATATGTCATATAATATTAACTTATGGTTATGTTGATTGGATTTTCAGACTCGTGTTTTATATCTTTTTTCAATTCTTTTTTTTAATCCCAAGAGACTAACTATCGCACGGTCCTTGTTAAAGTATATAGTTCCAGTTACCTTTAACTCACATCTCATGTGGTGTTGTCTGCGTTGGTGTTTTCAAAGGAAAACCAACGGACTGGGCTGTGTTGTTTAACAATTTTCTTGGAAACGTGCTCATGTAGGTAAACAGCTATATCATCAACGTCATAGGTTTCTACAGGTATCTTAAATTATTTTTGTTCGAAATTAAATAAGTTATTTGTCTCGTCCACATTTGCGATTGTATGGTAGGTGGCTAAATTAATCAAACCCAATTAGTATTGATCGTCTTCATTAGGTATTATTGGTGGATAGAGTTTTAACCGTAAAATAAATTCACGTCCAGAAAAAGTAAAATTGTAATTTATATTCACACACGTGTTAAACTTGACTAACCAATGTTAAATTTTCAAAGTGGGTAGGAAGGTGGTTTTGGATGGGGTAGTGTTAAAGAAAAGATTTTGTTTATAATTATTCTTATAAAAATTTTAAACACAAATGATTATTATTAAAAGTATTAAAATTTTGATATCTACCATAATTATACACAACGGTTACACGACCATTGGATTTAAAATATTTCACAAGTTCCAAGAGAAGTTAAAAATTTCCCAAACTATCAAAGTATACAACGTTTGCACCATTTTTTGTATACGCAGTCCAATGACTTCCAGGACCATTTGTTGAATTCAAATTTATCACACCCCGTTCGTTCCGACGCACATAGGAATATTTGTTAAAAAAAACCGTTCAAAATTATTTCTTGCATTTTTTGCAATGTAATCATTTGAAATACAATATTTGATCGTAATTTTTAAAATAAGGCTTAAAAAAATATTGCGTTTTTTTGTAATGTAGTAAAATAAAATTTGATCGTTATTCGGAGTTTATTTAAAAAATATATATAAACATGTCAAGATAACTTAAATTATCCTTAATCAGACAAACTGTTCATCTTCCTCTTCGTCAGCTTCATCTTCCTCTTCGCCGGCTTCTTCTTCCTCTTCGTCAGTTTTTTCTTCCTCTATCTTCGTAGCTTTCGTTTTCATTTTGAGGTAAAGGCGGTTTGCCTGCGATCATCAGATTGACTGCCTCGACTGCGAAAATGACTTGGTCTTCTTATGCCGCCTTGGTCTGCAACTGCTTAAATACAGGTCTGAACTTAGTAACAGTCTATTTAATATATCTCTGTTACATTTGACCCGTGAAAATTTTCGAGCAAAATTTAACCTGTGTTGTCGGAAGTGTTTATTGCGGACTTCAGCTGCCTCCTCTGATAAATTGCCAATAGGTACAATTGAATTAGATATGATTAGGGCGCCATGCATTAAAACTTTGTGTACAATTGGTGACAGGATGCCAAATATATATATATATATATATATACATCACACTATCATCGAGGCGTCTTTTCATTTCGACTACTTATGAGCGTCCTAGCGTATATTTTTCATCGTACTATTTTCTTAGCGTCCGTTCATTATAGCTCTTCTTAGCGTCCATGATATTCAAATAATTTTATTTTCCAACTTCTCGGCGTCCTGGCGGTGTTGCCAAGTAAAATAAATTAAATAAACGCAGTAAGCAAAGGCAATTTATGTTAATTAGGTGATTATTAGTAACTCCGTTATTATTTGAACTACAAAGTCGGTTAAATTAGCAAATTGGCATTTTTTCGACTGATTTAAATAATTAATTGGTGAAAACAGAAAAACAATTAAATATGGGTTTACCGAAATATTTACAAAAATAACAATTTTTTTAATGGGACAGGGTGCATATTTTTAAATATTTTAAAAGACAATTTAAACTTAAAAATAAACAATTAATAAAAACTTAAACTTTTCCCTGGTTGTTGAAATAACTAAATTATTAATTTATTATAATTACAATCAGAAAGTTAAAGAGCATACCTTTTAAATTTAGGGTAGTTATGCAATATTAATTTTTTGTTCCAAATTAAATTGTCTTTTAAAATATGTTATATTAGTGAATATTTAGGAAACCCGACGTTTAATTGTTTTTCTGTCAGCAAAGAGACTTAAATCATCCGAGAGTATAATTAATTCGCATAATCTCGATTGCAATACTATGCTTTATATACTTCAATAAGTAGATAATTAAATGATTTTCAAAAATAATTTAATGAAATCTGACATCTGTGAAATTATTAACCTCACTTTTTAACAATTTTAAATGTTATTATAATAATAATTTAAAACCCAACATAGGAGTAACACTGCAATGTAACGATGTTACTAAAATGCAACGCAACAGTTACCTAAAATAATGGTAAAATTGTTACCGTCCCAAGTTAACCAATATGCAATATAACAATAACGTAACATTGCGATACTATTGTAATGTAACAAAATTACCAATAAGCAATTTAACAACAATGTAACATTGTGAAACTATTGTAATATAACAAAATTACCAATATGCAATATAACAGCAACGTAACATTGTGAAACTATTGTAATATAACAAAATTACCAATATGCAATATAACAGTAACGTAACATTGCAATAATATTGTAATAAGTTTGTTACGTAACAGTTACATCTCGCTCGTGTTACCACCTTGATTAGGTATATAAACGAAGTTAAGACAGCGCACCATGCCCATTTGTCATTGGACCTCAAACAGTCTGCCTGATTATGGGAAAGTCAGAATACGATATTATGTATCATTTGATACGCTTTAGCGTTCAACTAAAGGAACTTTCTTATGTCGAGCATAATAAAGTTGCAACGTAACAATGTTACATAACCGTAAAGGCTATCTTATGTTACATAAGTTCGCGAAAATGTAACGGCAACGTAACATTGTTACCTATTTGCAACCATCAGGTTATGTAACTGTAATGTTACACATTATAATCGTTACATAACATTTTGGTTAATGTTACGTAACAGTTATGTATCATTTTCATAACGGAAACGGCAATTGTTATGTAACAATGTTACTCCTATCAGTGGAAAATAGGAGCCTATTTGCAATCATCAGGTTATGTAACTGTAATGTTACACATTACAATCGTTACATAACATTTTGGTTAATGTTACGTAACAGTTATGTTTCATTTTCATAACGGCAACGGCAATTGTTATGTAATAATGTTACTCCTTTCAGTGGAAAATAGGATCATATTTGCAACCATTAGGTTATGTAACTTTAATGTTACACATTACAATCGTTACATAACATTTTGGTTAATGTTACGTAACAGTTATGTATCATTTTCATAACGGCAACGGCAATTGTTATGTAACAATGTTACTCTTATCAGTGGGAAATAGGAACCTATTTGCAATCATCAGATTATGTAACTGTAATGTTACACATTACAATCGTTACATAACATTTTGGTTAATGTTACGTAACAGTTATGTATCATTTTCATAACGGCAATGTAACATTGTTATGTAACAATGTTACTCCTATGAGTGGGAAATAGGAACCTATTTGCAACCATCAGGTTATGTAACTGTAACTTTACACATGACAGTTCATTATTTCCGTTGTTAGGCAGGAAATTTATAATGTATATCATTATTCACAAAAAAAAACAATATTATGCAATACGAGCCCTAACCACATAATGTTCGGACACTTCATAATTTATACAGAAATTTTTTTCGTGAATACTATCTCAAAATTATTAGAAGTTATGAAAAATTCAGCTTATTTTGGCATATATCCCTCGAAGCGATTTTTATTTTTAAAAAGTTTACCTTTTATTTTTAGCTTTTAAAAAAAGGCTAACTTTTTAACTTTTTTTGTATGAGTAAAAAAAGTTATAAATGGACCCATTAAAAAGAGCATAAAATATTATACAAACCCTGAAAATTTGGTAAAAAATAAATAAGTTATAAAAAAGTATAAGTAATTTAAAAATGCTATTTTTAAAGAGTTTTTGCAATTTTCTTAGGAAACGGGAGATTTTGCAGATATATATATCGCTATAACTTTCTTATTATTTATACAATTTTTACCAAATTTTCAGGGTTTGTATAATATTTTATGTTCTTTTTAATGGGCCCATTTATAACTTTTTTTACTCATGCAAAAAAAAGTTAAAAAGTTAGCCTTTTTTTAAAAGCTAAAAATAAAAGGTAAACTTTTTAAAAATAAAAATCGCTTCGAGGGGTATATGCCAAAATAAGCTGAATTTTTCATAACTTCTAATAATTTTGAGATAGTATTCACGAAAAAAATTTCTGTATAAATTATGAAGTGTCCGAACATTATGTGGTTAGGGCTCGTAGAAGTAGATACAGTATTATTATAAATCCTGTCCCAAAATGTAAAAATCTGTTAACACCCAATAATTGATATCAGCATGGTATAAAATCATTTTATACAGGATTCTGTATAAGATGTTTTTATACCATCAATTATTGGGTTAACGTTAACGGTAAAGTTACGTAATTACTGTAACGTTACAGTATCGAACGTTATGTTTCAATTTTATAACAGCAATGTAACATTGTAATCCATTAAAAAGTTACATAACAACATAAAAATAATAATGCATTTATGTAACGATAACGTAACATTGTTATGTAACAATGTTACTTCAAAAAGCGGGAAATAGGAACCTATTTGCAACCATCAGGTTATGTATGTAACTGTAATGTTACATATCACGATTGTTGCATAACATTTTGGTTAATGTTACGTTACAGTGTCGAACGTTATGTTTTTTCTTTTATAACGGCAATATACATTGTAATCCATTAAAAAGTTACATAACAACAACATTAAAATTATAATGCATTTATGTAACGACAACGTAACATTGTTATGTAAGAATGTTACTTTAATAAGCGGGAAATAGGAACCTATTTGCAACCATCAGGTTATGTAACTGTAATGTTACACATCACGTTACAATGTTTGATTAAATGAAATTTGAAAATATTATCTCCGAGGGTCTTCTGGCTATAATAGTATATTATGTATCAAGTTTTATAAACGCCATTTTAGTTACGAGTTTAATTAAGCACGAGCGAAGCTTGCGAGCGAGTTTTTAATAAAAACGAGTGTCTAGAGAAGTTTATAAATGAGTTAGTTGTATACTATACTTTATCTACGACGAACACAAAACAGAATTTAAAGCCAATTTTTTTGTTAAAATTTTGACATCTCGGCCATTTCAAGCGGATGGACGGGACAAATCACAAAACTGTTTTTATAAAAAAAATTGTAAGTAATTTATTATATATTATTTTTGCATCAAAATTGTCAAATATATTCTTCTATTATTAGGCTATACATTAAATTTAAAAAAACGCAAGAAATATTTTATAAAAGTAGAGATAATTTCAATAATTGACAGGGGTGGATGGGACAAGATAAATCTTTTTTTTGTCCCGTCCACACCTTTCAATTATTAAAATTATATCTACTTTCACAAAATATTTCTTGCGTTTTTTTTTATTTAATGTATAACCTAATAAAAGAAGAATATTTTTGACAATTTTGATGCCAAAATAATATATAATAAATAATCTACAATTTTTTTTATAAAAACATTTTTGTAATTCGTGCGTTTCGCGCGCTTGAAATGGCCGATCTGTCAACTGTCACCCGAATTTAAGCTCACTTTTTCCCAATTTGTAATAAAGCTAACTTCAGCCCGTGACGTAAAATGTCGAAAAGCCACTGTTGTTAACTTCAGCCCGTCAATAAAACGCCATAAAGTTACAGCTCGTCAATGTAGGAGTAGATAAAATTATTTTACGTGGGTTATAAATATTAAATATTTAAAAATAACTTACATATATACTTAAGTATATATGTAAGTTATTTTTAAATAGTTACCTGTGCTACTTTACCAAATAATAATTCTGAACTAAAGTAAGAGTAATGTAATATTTTATCAAAATTTGCAATAGTATTAGTACTGTTTTGGGATATCCAAAAAATAAATTACCCACTGGGAATACAATTTAATGCCCCTAAAAGCCAAATGGTACAAAAGTACATTTTGTTTAGTTTTGAGATAGTCATGTTTAAAGTTAAGACCTTTTTTGTAATTTGGGTCAAAATTGTTTCATAAGTTTGGTTATTAACTATAGTATATATACGTATATAGTATACTACGTTGACGAGCAAATATTGGCTTTTGGGTATTTTAGCCACGGGCTGAAGTTAGCTTTATTATAAATAAGGCAAAAGTAAGGTTAAAAACATTAAAATTTGACAAATGTAAATTTTTAACAAATAAAATTGACTTCAAATTCGTCTTTGTGTACGTCGTAGATAAAGTGTAGTATGCAACTCGTTTTATAAACTTCTCTAGACACTCGTTTTTATTAAACACTCGCTCGCAAGCTTTGCTCGTGAATCTAAAATGACGTTTATATTATTATTTATATTCCTTGGCTACCAAGTAAAATGTACCTTTTACTATGTATTCCTGTACTTAACTCCATTTTTTATATAATAGGGTCCTTATATAATAGTTAAAAGTCAAACGTGACTTGTATGCAATTAAATCCGTAAAATATTTATAAATATTAAGTAGTAAGTATACTACTACTATTATTATAATAATATATATGTATTTATTTTTAATAAAGCAAAGTCCGATACTGGACGCTCAGAAAACGGAAAAGTTGAAATGAATATACAGAAAGGACGCCCACAAATCGTTGGCGTAAAATTTTATTGAATTAAATATTCATTAAAAACACGAATTTGAAAATTTTACTTAAAATACAACAGAATCGTATTATAATTGCCATGTTGCAAAATTTCCTTGGCTAAAGGACGCTCTGAAATCGGAGTAATGTAAGAGATTTTATACTAAGGACGCTTACCAATCTCTAAGATGTAATTAAAAAAAATTAAATATACACAACGTATATTTTACATTGGCGACAGTCACTCCCCTCGTGGAAAAGTCGTGCGTAGGCATCGTATTTTTCAGCATCAATGCTGTAGCCACTTGAAATTACCTTAAATCTTCTTATTAAATCTAAATTGATGCCAGTGATTCGAGAAGAGCATTCCGGCTCGTCAAAGTATTGCCATCGTTAGTGTTTCCAAATCCCGCTTTAGGAACATCTACCAGGAGCCCCGTTTATTTTTTAAAGGCTCTTTAAATTTCCTCTTTTTTTCTTTAACAACTTTTTTTTCTTCGTCAGATCGCTCTTGACACTTTTTTAATGGTAATTTATAGGCTAAATGTAGTAGCGAGAGTCTAAACTTCAGTGCTTTCACATTGACTTCTTCTGATTTAATTATTTATTAAAATCCTCGTCATGGTGGAAGCAGTATTAGTCAGAGCAGGTTTCCGTCACTTGCATCGATTCCTTATCAGGGTAACATTCGCTTTTAGCTTCTTTCATAAGTGAGTAACAGGGGTAGAGGCTCTTATTAGAAATATGTATTCCCAAGCAGCATTTTTGGTTCCAAAAACCATTGCCAAAGTTGTGATAACTTTAAATTAGTTAAGTATACTAAACAGCTACTTTAATTTTTACTTAAAAGTAATTCTAACTTTTAAATAGCAATATTTTGTAACAGAAACTTAATTTTTCCTTAAATTGTTACTATAAAGTAATAAACATTTAAGTAAAACTTGGTTGCCCCCAAGAAGACTTTGCAACTTTAAAAAAGATGTTATAAGTAAAAAAAACTTTCAAGTAAATTTAATTTGTAGCAGTTACTTTCGGTTGCTACCTAAAGATTACATTATAATTATTTTTACTTTGTAGTCCCTTTGCAAGTTAAAATCTCGAAACTGGAACATGAGTTAAAAACTACAAAGTTAATTACTTAAAAGTTATTATTTTAGTATTTGGAACGTTTATGGTACTAACCAAAACAACCGTAAAGTGGAAAAAAACTTTAAAGTAGCGAAAACTACTTCAAAGGAAAATGCTTCTTATCGGCCATTTTTTACTGTACAGTACCACGTGGTAATGTAAATAATAAATTATTTTAATTGTTTGTAAATGGTTGTTTACTTTTTAATAAATAGAAATATTGTTGGTAATAGACGGTATTAATAATTAAATAAAAAAAATAATAATAAATATTAAGATTTTTTTATTTATAAACATTACTAAATAAATAATTTGTTTATACTTAAATATTGATGAAGCGCATTTATTTTACAAAAACTAAATTCATAAGTTCAACAGTAAAATTTAAAGGGTTTATAAATCTACCTGTCTAATTAAATATTATATTGTTATTCTGGAAGTTATAAACTACCAGTACATATTTAATAAACGACGACATTGAAAAGCCAAGTCCGTAGTGGTTCCATTTAAAAAAGGAGGGTATAGTATAATCTAATATAAGTTTGACAAAGACAGTTAATATAGAAGTAAAAACAAATAATAAAAGTAATTATAACGCTCTAGCAACGATATTGGAACGTTCTAGTAACGTAGCAGCTACGTCCCAAATAGTAGCAGGGTTGGTAGCTAGTGACATATTTGCTACCTTTTTGGAACTCAATAATTGTTCCCCACTTTAGTCGTAACGTAGTAATAAAAGAGTAATATAAAGAGACCGGCGACTGTCGCAAAACACTTTGAAGTTTCTTCAATAGTCCCATATACGTAACAAATACTTAAATTGTTGCTTGGGTTACTTCCCATTGTCTTCTGGTGAAGTTGCCTTCTACAAATATTGAGAATGCAACTTTATTATTTTTGACGCATCGGTATTTCCTGAAGTGCGCTGACTCACTCCTGCTGCATATGTCAACTCCTCTACAGGTATCTGTATCGTAGTTCTTTTGTTTTTTGACACTGCTGCTGTCACTTAACTCTTCGAATGTTTTAGTTGGTCGGCCTGGTTTCTCTGTAGGTTGTACAGACCAGTAAGGCAGTTCAATAGATGCTGTAATCCATTTTTTATTGTTTTTTAAGAAACGTTCCTTTTTGTAACTAGCAGCTGTCGATTTCTTTTTAAATTTGCTTATAACTTTTTTCTCATTATCTGGGCATTTAGTAATTTTCACAAGCTTTTCTTCCATTAACGAAAACTTGTCATCCAGTTTATTTCCTTTAAATTTATTGAGGATATCATACAGTGCTTTTCTGGTAAATGTCTTGACAATTGTTCTGAAGAATCACGTGTCACTGAAGTCATATTTGCAGAATAATGAATACATAAAAACACACCAGAGATTATAGATACTTTTTTTTACCTATAGGTTTGTTATAATAAACCGAAATTACATACAAGGTAATTTCCATAGAATTTGAAAGCAAAAATACCATATTGTTGTTATGGTAAAAAAAAATAACTCGTTAACGAGGCTAACGAAGGAGAGGTAGCGCGCTATAAATTGCCTTTACTTAAGTTCTACTGCTTCGATCTTGATAAAATTTTGAGAAAATATTCTCAAAATAATATAGATACTTAAGGAATATTTAAGAAAAAATTTGATATTGATTTTTGGCCTAGCAGAACATATATTACCCTTTAAAAACCTATAAGCTTTTCATCCATTAACGAAAACTTTTCATCCAGTTTTTTTCTTCAAATTCCTTTTGGCTATTATACAATACTTTTTTGGAGTCTCAGCGCCACCGGAAAATCATGTTGTAGATTAAATTTTTTGATAATATATGCTTGTTATGCAAGCCAAGTCTAGCGAACTTCAACGAGCAACGCGCCGTGTTATTAGTCCGAGAGCCAGCGACAAAAAAACTCGATGATCGTATTCCTGCTGAAAAAATTTCAGAATACTCGAAAAAGTTTGTACATGACACATTTCGGTGCCTGGCAGCTCAAAGCGGTTGCGTTTTTTAAATAAAAAATTTTTATTGGTTAATTTTTGACACAATACCCGTACAATCGTATTCCGATTGAAAATTTGAAAAAACGTTGGAAAAACATTCTACATTATGCATTCGGGTGCCTGCCAACGAAAATCGGTTGCCAAGTCCCGCCTGCCAATTAAAAAAGTGTCAATTTTTTTTTCAAAATCCGGATTATCGCGTTCCGCTTGAAAATTTAATAGAATGTAATTGAACGCATGACAAAATCATTTGTAAGTGCCTGCCAAGTCGGAGCCGTTGCTTTAAGGTGCCTGCCAGCCTCCAAAGTGAGCGCTGCATCGCCGTCCGGCCTCAGCGGTCGCTGGTGGCTCGATGCACTTTGTCGGGCTTTTATGTTTATATCGTTTTTGTAACGTATACATGTAACGTATATATATATACATATATATATATATATTAGGGTGGTCCATATTTTGAGAAATTTTGAAGGGGGTTCAAAGGGTTCGAAATAAATAAAAAAAAATATTTTCCAAGTTTCAAGTTCCTAACATAATATTAACCCTTGCCGCATTGCAGTTTATGTTTCCTATGTAAATAACATGGCTACATGATTTTCTTAAATTTAATAAAAATCATATAGATGAAACTCTAACAATATCATTGCTAAAAATCCGTTAAAATTCTAACGAATAGCTACTATTATAAGGTTAAATTCTGACAAGTTTCAAATTTTTTGAACAGTTACTTTGGCCGGAATAAATAATTAATTATTCAATGCTGAAAACACCGGTGTTTTCAGCATTGAATAATTAATTATTTATTCCGGCCAAAGTAACTGTTCAAAAAATTTGAAACTTGTCAGAATTTAACCTTATAATAGTAGCTATTCGTTAGAATTTTAACGGATTTTTAGCAATGATATTGTTAGAGTTTCATCTATATGATTTTTATTAAATTTAAGAAAATCATGTAGCTAAAACTTTAAAATTATAATAGCTTAAAATCTGTAAAAATTATGAGAAATAGTCACTATTATAAGGTTCAATTTTGCCAGGTTTCAATTTTTTTTGACAGTTGCTTTGGCCGGAATAAATAATTAATTATTCAATGCTGAAAATCCCATGTTATTTACATAGGAAACTTAAACTGCAATGCGGCACGGGTTAATATTAAGTTAGGGACTTGAAACTTGGAAATAATTTTTTTTTATTTATTTCGAACCCTTTGAACCCCTGAGAGCAAAAAAATTCAAAATTTCTCAAAATATGGACCACCCTAATATATATATATATATACGTTACATGTATACGTTACAAAAACGATATAAACATAAAAGCCCGACAAAGTGCATCGAGCCACCAGCGACCGCTGAGGCCGGACGGCGATGCAGCGCTCACTTTGGAGGCTGGCAGGCACCTTAAAGCAACGGCTCCGACTTGGAAGGCACTTACAAATGATTTTGTCATGCCTTCAATTACATTCTATTAAATTTTCAAGAGGAACGCGATAATCCGGATTTTGAAAAAAATTTTGGACACTTTTTTAATTGGCAGGCGGGACTTGGCAACCGATTTTCGTTGGCAGGCACCCGAATGCATAATGTAGAATGTTTTTCCAACGTTTTCTCAAATTTTCAATCGGAATACGATTGTACGGATATTGTGTCAAAAATTAACCAATAAAAATTTTTTATTTAAAAAACGCAACCGCTTTGAGCTGCCAGGCACCGAAATGTGTCATGTACAAACTTTTTCGAGTATTCTGAAATTTTTTCAGCCGGAATACGATCATCGAGTTTTTTTGTCGCTGGCTCTCGGACTATATACCCTCGAACTGCTAATTAAGTACTTTTTCTTTCTCTGAATAGCTTTGTATTGAACTCAGGGGCGTAGCAACCGCAGTATCAGCTGTATCCCCCGGTTAGGGGTCCCCCGATTAAACATATAAACATATTACCAACTTGTTAAAAAATTAAGGCATGAAATTAAAAAAATAAATAATATTATTATTTAATTGTTTATACTTCGATTTATTAAATTAAAATTTTCCTGAATATCCTTGTTTAATCGTCAATTAAACAAATTTAATATCTAATACTTTCCAAAATTTCATATTTAATTTTTTTTATTTAAATAATTTAATATTTCGACGCGGTGACCGACCAAAAGGTGCTGAGCCTACAAAATCAGTACCTAATTAATCGGTCATAGCCGTTAAAACTGCATATACACATTGTTTAAATAATCTATTTGCTACGTCACATTAGAATAATGTATAAATAGGAATTAATTTAATAAAACTTTCTCTTTCAACCACAACCTCCGTATCATTCACATCTACCTAACTACCCTCAACATTCCCTAAACTCGACAAGAGTTTACAATCCTTCTGTTCCAAAGAGGCCTTGAACTCATACGAATTGTTTCTGCCCGCACCTTTCCGCTATGCGTTGTCTGCGGCGCAGTCTGCGCATATTGTTCTGTGCATACTGAGTTTTCTTTGCGTGTTAGGTTATATTAATAGCAAATTAGAAATAATTAACGTTACAATTATTTCAAATGACTTGCCTTTATTTTAAAATAGAAACCTTTTAAAAGATGTTGAAGAATTTTAAAATTTGCATGTACATAAAAAGCTATTATACATATGTATATTATTTATTGAATTATAAAAAATGGTAAATGCAAAAAAATGATATCTTAAAAAATTTTGCTGGTTTGCCCAAAATAGACTTTGGGCGTGACTCCCAGATATTTTTGATACGGGGCCCCCTCGAGGCTATCTACGCCACTGATTGAACTCATTATGAATTAATTTTTTTAGGTACTGTTTTACTGGAAAATAAGGAATAGGTATCTAAATATACTTAATAACTTTTTTTTATTATGCAAATAATTTAAACAATTAAAATTTAGACATAGGTAGTATGGGATTTAAATATATAGAATATTCTTTGTTATTTCTTATGGTTATGGGTTCTTTTTGAAAATAACTTATAAAGTCTGTTAAATTAGAAAATTCGGGCGTTAGCTCCTCCATTAAAGAATCGCATCTAATTTTGTTTCCTATTTTAATAATGCCAATGTTGAAAAATTGTTTGTTATATTTAATGGTGAGCGTCAAAAAGAATCTCGGATTTTCACTATGCCTGAAAAGAAAGACTCCATCATCCAAATCTCTTAATAATAATTTGGCTCCTTTTCTGTCTGTGTTTCTGTAAAATGGTTCGTTGTTTAAATTATCTAAAAAATAAACATTGTATTATTTTGTGCCCCTATTTTTATAGAAATACGTAAATTCTTCAAACTATAAAGATAATGTAAAACACGTTTTTTTGCAGAAATAATTAGGTATTTTTAATAAAAGTTTGTATTTTGGTTATATGTAGGTTAGGGTGATGCAAAAAGAAACATTTTTTTGAATTCTATGCGAGACCACTCGGGTTTTCAAAGAGTATCATGAAAATAAAAATCTGTAAAAATTTGAGAGAAATCAATTAAAATTTAGAGGTCGCTCAACGCAATTGTTTAATTTAGAAAAATCACGCATCTCAAATGCATTGCTATAAACAAGTAGGCATATTTCATACATATTTGAATGAAAATGGTTGAATTTTTTTTTGGTGGACTCTTAATGATTATTGTAATAAATAATGTTGTCCCGATTTCAAAAAATTTTTCATAATATTTAAAAAATATATATTAATTATCAAATATAACTTAGTTAACAAATAATTCATTCAATTTTTTTTTGTTTCAAATTCTGTAAAAACATTGTTAATAGGTCTACAAGCAATTATTCATTCACAAAAACACTCGCCCCCATCGTTAAATATAAGAAAAAAAATAATATTTTAATTAACTACACTTCGCGTCAAATTTAACGCACCACTAAAAGTTTGTCACATTTTCAAAGTTGATTTTCTCGCGAACCGTCAAACCGAATTTAGTGATTTTTATAATAAATTGTAGGTTTATTCTTCGGTAATAATGCGTTTATTAAAATATTTTTTTAAATTAACAATTTGAGTATATACAGGGTGCAAGAGTGATAATAAGTTTTTTCCCGGAAATTTAAAACGCCCTGTGGATTGTACCAGCTATAACAGCATATGTATCTTATAATCAAACTATAGCCACATCTTCTCTTAACATTTTGTTTTTTGATTCACCGCGTATCTTTATTTTTAAATGAAATATACAGTTAAAGATAAAAGAACTCCAGTTTAATACAAAAATGTAAAAAGAACGATGGTAACAATAACAACAAAAATATTAACAAAATCAATAAAACCAACATTAAAGAGTATCAATATCGCGTATTTCTGCCTCTACTTCTAATTACGGCTTCACATCGACGGCTCACACTCGAAACCAGATGTCTAATCTCGTCTTGATCAATGACATTTCATATTTCTCGTAGCATATTTGCTACGTCATCAAGGGAGGCAGGCAAGGAATCATGATTTCTTAGTCGTCTACTCATATTATCCCACAAATGCTCGATGGGGTTGAGATCCGGACTATTTGCAGGCCAGTCTAAAGTTTTAACACCCACCTCATGTAAGTACTCTTGCACTATATAGCATTATGATTATAAGATACATATGCTGTTATAGCTGGTACAATCCACAGGGCGTTTTAAATTTCCGGGAAAAAACTTATTATCACTCTTGCACCCTGTATATACTCAAATTGTTAATTTAAAAAAATATTTTAATAAACGCATTATTACCGAAGAATAAACCTACAATTTATTATAAAAATCACTAAATTCGGTTTGACGGTTCGCGAGAAAATCAACTTTGAAAATGTGACAAACTTTTAGTGGTGCGTTAAATTTGACGCGAAGTGTAGTTAATTAAAATATTATTTTTTTTCTCATATTTAACGATGGGGGCGAGTGTTTTTGTGAATGAATAATTGCTTGTAGACCTATTAACAATGTTTTTACAGATTTTGAAACAAAAAAAAATTTAATGAATTATTTGTTAACTAACCTATATTTGCTAATTAATATATATTTTTTAAATATTATGAACAATTTTTTGAAATCGGGACATTATTATTTATTAGAATACCTAATCATTAAGAGTCAAAAAAAAAAATCAACCATTTTCATTCAAATTTGTATGAAATATGCCTACTTGTTTATAGCAATGCATTTGAGATGCGTGATTTTTCCAAATTTTGTCCCTTTCGCCCGGTAATAATTTTTTACTGATGCAGGATAATGCTATATAGTGCAAGAGTACTTACATGAGGTGGGTGTTAAAACTTTAGACTGGCCTGCAAATAGTCCGGATCTCAACCCCATCGAGCATTTGTGGGATAATATGGGTAAACGACTAAGAAATCATGATCCCTTGCCTGCCTCCCTTGATGACGTAGCAAATATGCTACGAGAAATATGAAATGTCATTGATCAAGACGAGATTAGACATCTGGTTTCGAGTGTGAGCCGTCGATGTGAAGCCGTAATTAGAAGTAGAGGCAGAAATACGCGATATTGATATTCTTTAATGTTGGTTTTATTGATTTTGTTAATATTTTTGTTGTTATTGTTACAATCGTTCTTTTTACATTTTTGTATTAAACTGGAGTTCTTTAATCTTTAACTGTATATTTCATTTAAAAATAAAGATAACGCGGTGAATCAAAAAACAAAATGTTAAGAGAAGATGTGGCTATAGTTTGATTATAAGATACATATGCTGTTATAGCTGGTACAATCCACAGGGCGTTTTAAATTTCCGGGAAAAAACTTATTATCACTCTTGCACCCTGTATATACTCAAAATGTTAATTTAATAAAAAAACGTATTATTACCGAAGAATAAACCTACAATTTATTTTAAAAATCACTAAATTCGGTTTGACGGTTCGCGAGAAAATCAACTTTGAAAATGTGACAAACTTTTAGTGGTGCGTTAAATTTGACGCGAAGTGTAGTTAATTAACATATTATTTTTTTTCTCATATTTAACGATGGGGGCGAGTGTTTTTGTGAATGAATAATTTCTTGTAGACCTATTAACAATGCTTTTATAGATTTTGAAACAAAAAAAAAATTGAATAAATTATTTGTTAACTAAGCTATATTTGCTAATTAATATATATTTTTCTAAATTAAACAATTGCGTTGAGCGACCTCTAAATTTTAATTGATTTCTCAAATTTTTACAGATTTTTATTTTCTTGATACTCTTTGAAAACCCGAGTGGTCTCGCATAGAATTAAAAAAAAAATGTTTTTTGCATATCACCTTAATGTAGGTACATTCTTTTATAAGTATGTGCATATACACACAACCAGACTTATATGGAATCGCCCAGTAATTACGAGAAACAGTAGGTATCTTAAAAAAAGTGATTTGAAAATAAACTTTACGGTAAATTAGAATTTAAAAAGAAATAATAGGTTTTTGTTAATTTAATAAGCATTGTTGCCACCTCTTGCACCAATTTAAGCACGAGTTCGACGAGGCATGCTTTCTATGGGAACATTTTCCCACTTTTCAAAATGCTCGTATTCGCTTATTTTTGAAATTGCGATTACTTCGTTTTACTTTTGTTTAAATTCAAGCGTGCCTTTCACGGGCACCGATAGACGTCTTAAAGAGTAAATCATATGATTTCAGTAAGAAGTAAGAAAAGAGAATACTGTAAGATATCATATAGGTACCTAACTGAAGTCTTATTTATGATACCCTTAATGGAAACTAATTAGTAGTTTCTAATTTTGATTCCAATAAGAGGTCAGAAAAAAGATACTTTAGGATGTTAAAAAATTGACTTCTCATTTATAAATTCATGAAGAGCTCTTAATTTTGAGCTCCTAAAAATTAATTCTCTAAGATGTCATATTGTGACCTCGGTAAGATGTTTTTCAACAGACTTCGTACAGAAATATTTCTGAATTGGATGCCGTCTGGCGAGAAAGAATAAAAATACCAATAAAATGCCTAACTTCGTAATACAAAAATGTATTAACTTTTTAATTTTATATTTTTTAAAATCCAAACATTTTGAGCATTTTCACTTGCTCCAAAGGTACGAAGAGGTTATTTTTTAATTCTTTTATTTCGTACAAATATCAAAACAAATTATTGACGTGCCATTTTTGCCATTTGTTCATAAATATGTCAGATAAAATTCCCCCGGAAACCCACTGGAACAAGTAAATTAAATATTACAAAAACGATTACATCAAAAGCTTACAATTATTTTATGCTTGGTTTTAAGAAACTCGAAATAAGGGTTTTTCAGTTATTATATAAAATCAGATATTTTTTAAAAATTGCAACACTCGAGAAATAGACGGGACGTTTTACTTTACAATGGAAGCTGAAAAACAAGTGTCCATGCAATGGATTAATTTTAGTATAAGGGATCACGTGTCATAATATTGACTGATTTCTGGTCATTTTTTGGCCCTAGACCTACGCGTGAAAGTCAATTTGAAATATTTTTTCTTTAAGTTAAAAAAAATCATAGCAGATTAGCAGGTTTCTTGGGCTAATTTTAGTGAAAAATCGACTGACGACAAAGTATTAATTAAGTACTATTAAAAAAAATCCAAAAACCACCCAACAAAAGGGTCAAAAGTGTATTTAAAAACATTTAAACATCGAGATGCTTACCTTTTAGGAAACAGTCATCTTCAGATGATGTATTACTTTTAAAACTGGCTAAATCAGACAGGTTGCTTGGAAAGTGTTGATCATATGATGTTTGTTTTCTAGTATTAGCATTAGGGTTGTGCATTTCTAAATAATCGTCAGCTACAAACATATAATTTTTATTTAAAATTTTTAAAAAATGTTATGATATTTTTACCTCCTGTATGGTTTATATATTCTCCTGGCGAGAAAGGCCTAGCTCTACATGTAACTAAGAGAAAAAATACAAGTTTGAATTTCGCCACTCTTGCATTTTCTGTAAGTTGCAACGCGTTGTTGAAAAAAATAATGTGCTTAACGAATGATTTCAAAACTTGCCTTTGGCTTGTCTTACAAACTTCACATTCGTTAAAAAAAGCTTTTGCACGTATACTATTTAATATTAAATGAATTTAAAGCCATGTGTTTTGCTGTCTCTCACGGTAAAATAAAACAGTAACCATTGATGTACAGAACAGTAATCCACTTAAATTGGGTGGTTGCTTTCTCCGCCATCTTTGTTTTAAGGAGTGTTTTTGTCAAATAAATATTCACGTAAAAACTCACAAGAGCAAAGTTGTAGAAAATAAAATAACCTATAATTTACATAAATTGATTTATAAACTTAAAAAAACTATATTTAAAACAAAAGCATCTAGTTAAACGTCCGAGGAAGGGGAGCTCCGGAGATAAACAGCAGTTTTGCTAATTTATTCTGTTTCTTTCAAAATTAAGTGGAATATTGAAGAAGGAAAGTTATTTATGACTCAATTTGTAACAAGTTTTGTTTAAACAATTTATGCATACGAACAATTGTTCGTTCTCGGGGACGCAAAAAAGTTTAGCTATTCTAGCACGATGGCAAGCAAGTGCTTGTTTCATGAAAATGTGCAATAGATAAAAGTAAGGAGTGTCATCTGTCATCTTGACAACGTTAAATTATTACTTGATATTATTTTGACCCTGTATATAGTTTGCCTGTCATCTTAACACCTGATATATTTTGTTGGTTTTCCACGTCATATGTCACTTTAACACCTGTCCAAGTGTTGCTTGATATATTGTCACCTTTTTATAAGGTTGACAATACAATTCATTATAATTAGAACCAATAAAATGCCAGTATTTCATAGTTATCACCTTGTTTACACGTTGCTAAGGATTTACACACTTTTCTTGATTTGACATTTGATGACATTTAAATACTGTGTTTTTTAAACGATTAAAATAATAAATTATAAACTCTAAAAGATCGATGGGTTGGTGTAAACGATAATAAAATTAAGGTAAGTTTGAATAAATAAGGTTTTATATTTTAAAGCACATTTTAATTTTAAATGTCAAACTGACAATCCGTTAAATCATAAAATTCATTATATTTTCTTACTAAATATAACTATGTATGATTAATTATCGATGATATTTACTCATTGAAACCGAAGCAGCACATTTCACTCGTCCTGCGGACTCGTGAAATCTGCAGCTCGGTTTCAATTCGAAAATATCATCTATTATAATCATACCACTTGTTATATTATGGGTGACAATAAAAAATATCGTGTCGGTCGGTTTTTCTACCCTCGTTACACTTAAGTGTATTAAATTATTTTGACAAGAAATCATAGGTGTATGACATATTTAATTTTTTAATAAAAAATTATATAAAGCATGTTTATTCGTAATACAAACAAAAAAAAACAAATTATTTATTGGGCGACCAAAATGTATAAATTTAAACTTAAACTTAAAAAGAAATAGTATACTACGACTATAACAATTATAAAAGATGAGCCAACCAGGGTTGGATGGGCTCAGAAAAACCGGCCCTGGCAATTTTTCATTCAGCCCTCCCTCGGGCATTATCTTACATAATCTTACACATTTGTAATGCTATAAAAACTCCATTAAAAAAAAATAATACTTGGTAGAACCACCATTCTTCTCTATAACATTTTGTAACCTCCTAGGCATGGAACTAATTAAATTTTGCATATCGTAATTTTCTTCCAAATTGTTCCACTCATTTTGAATTGCATTAATAAGGTCTTCTCTATTTCTTGGTCTAAATTCATAATTATATATTTTTTTTACGAGATATCCCCAAATATTTTCGATTGGATTTAAATCGGGGCTTCTTGACGGCCAAGGAAGCGTTGTAATGTGATTTTCTTCTAGCCAATTATGAACCACATGAGCAGTGTGAACTGGCGAGTTATCCTTAAAATGAAAAAAAAATATTTTTTTCATCAGGAAAGATAAATCATAAAAGTTTTATGTGTTGAAACACAAAATCATTATCAAATCTTTCTTGCACTGACGGGAGCATTACATCGTTTAAAATTTCCACGTATCGGTTCCCAGTTAATCGGCCTTCTACAATATGAATTATATCAGCCCCTGAAGATGATATTCACGCCCACACGTGGACAGAAAATCTTCCGCTGTTGTCAGTTTTGTGGAGGTATTCTTCATCAAACTTATGGTTTCTGGGACGATAAACTCGCAGTTGCCCATTGTAGCAGGATTGAAATATTTTTTCATCTGAAAAGACTACTCGCTCCCAATATTCAGCGTTTTAATTTAAAACATTATTTGCAAACTCCACTCTTGCCTCTTTATTAACATACGTCAAGCGAGGCTTTTTAGCACTCACGCAGTTAAATAAACCTTGTTCTCGCAACCGTTTTCTTGCCGTCCTAACAGATGCTGGGAAGTTGGTTTCCTCTTTGGCTTGAATGGAGTTAGAAAATGGGTTTTGCCTCACATATTCAACCAACTCGTCGTTTACTGGAGTTGTCTTTCTTGGACGCCCAGAACCCATTACCCTACTCAGGTCACCAGTTTCCACCCACTTTTTGTTTAATTTTTGAATAGCGCTTTTGCTGCAGTTTATTTCATCTGCTATTTGTTGTTGAGACCATCCTTCTCCAATTTTGGCGATAATATAGCCTTTCTCTGCTTCACTTAAAGTATGGTAAGGCATACTTAAATAATGACTTTACTTAATTTAAGATGACGTTACTAAATTTTATAAAATTATTTTTGAAATGCCACTGCTGACAACCATATTTACAACGGGAAAATTAGTCGATTACTTTTTATCGGCCGCAATAGTACATCAACTTTGACTGTGAATACCTTCCCTGCTTAAAATACCCCATAGAGACCTATATAAAATAATCTATCGGGCGCTACCGGATTCAATATGTGCATTTGTCCATGGTTTTTTCCGGATACGGCCCGATAGAAAATTTATAAGAAATTACCTATAGGCACACCATAACTTTTACATTTTCCCTATTGAGACCGATAGCAAATAACTCAATGAAGGTTATATAGGGATATTCCTATAGAACAACCATAAAACATTTGACAAAATTTTATTAAAACCTATAGGGTCCTATGGGAGAAAAACTAATTTCTACATTTATGTGTATTTTCCCCATTGAAACCAATAGCAAATAAATCAAGGGTGGATATCCCTATAGAACAACCATAAATTGAGAAATTTGATTCGTTGAGAAGTATTCAGCACCTTGAATTACATATACCGGATTCCTATTAATCCCAAAACTCAATGACTATAGTCATACATATATGTATTTGTGGATGTTTTACCCACAATTAATTACCATATTGTAAAATAATGTTTAATTTACACAAGTAATAGTGTAGTTGTGTTTATTTTAATTAACACATTTCTGTTTACGTTAAATTTAAACTTAAAACAACTATATTTACTTGCTCAAAATACATTTTTATAAAGATATCTTTAATAATTTATTAATTAAATTCCCCAATTAACATATTTTTGTCAAAGCTTTTGTTTAAAACAAACATTTGCGTTTACATTAAAACTTTAAACAACTTTTTATTTTTAAATTAACAGCGGCAAATAAATCAAAGATGGTGGCCATTAAACTGTTCACGTGGTGCGCATAATAGTCCTGATTTTCGTTCGCATTTTATCGAGGAAGAACAGGGAGTTCGATTTTATCCTCGGTGAGAAGCGCATCGCTCGTGCATTGCTCCATGAAAAGTGTGAAATATAGTTGACTTTGACTCAAGGAGGACAAAATCGGATTCCAGTCCTAGATAATATTCCTCGTTTTGTCCTTTTTTAAAGGAATAGAGGAATTTATATGAACATATAAATTTCAAGGTTATATAACCTATTTGTGTCCACGTGTTCGTTAGAAAACCGTTGTCCAATGGTCTTTGGTTCTTCGGAAATCATTGGACGTTAAAACTAGTAACTGGGCAGTAAGAGCCTAATCGGCTCAAGTCCAATTCTCTCGAAAGAGAGAATAAAAAGTATAGAAGAAGAAAGAAGAAGAGGAAGACCAGACCTTGTTGTGTGGTAAAACATCCACAAAGTATAAGAGCAACAAAGTATTCGGACAAATGAGCTGCGAATATGAGAGGTCAAATCTCGAATAGAAACTTATTCAGGTCAATAAAACTTGAATTCTTTTGCAGTTAGTCACAAAAATAACTATTGCTGTTGTCAAATTAACCCCTGTAGTGTTTTATTAGAAATTGTTTAAGTTAATTACCATTTAAATGGTACACTGACACAAACACTTAAAAACAATTGTGATCAATGGTTACTGTTTTATTTTATTCGTGTACTGGTTTGCAAATCAGAAAATCAACATGGCATTTACTAGAGGGTCTTCATTTTATTTTACAAAAAAACTTAAAAAAATACATAAAAGACAAAAGTCTTATTGAAACAGTATTATTATTAAATTTTATAGGTTTTATTTTTTTAAACAAATTTGTTCCTATTTAAGCCTGCTGCACAGCGGTCTCGGTTCTCGTTACCGTGCTGGTAACGAGAACGGGAACCTAAACGGTAAAGGTGGGAGAGACTTACCAAACACTTTCGAATAACAGTGGTTTCTTAGTCTCTCCCACCTGTACTGTTCAGATTCCCGTTCCCATTATCGGTCTATTGTTCGAATGAAAAATGAAGCGTATTTTACAAATATTTATCCCTACCTGTTGATTTATTAATATATTTTTCAAAATCTTCTTCTTCCTCTGAAGGAATGGGTAATGGAGGTCGCCCTTTACCTTAAAAATATAATTTTTAATAAAGTTTTTTATCAGGTCGCTAAATAAAATTTTTACCGACCCTACTTAATTTTCTATTAGAAGTATTTAAAAATAATGGATGGAACCATTTTTATTGAGTGGAAGTTCTTAATGGCATTCTCTTATTTCACTGTGTGGGGGTAAACACCATTATTATATAGGGCGGCAAAATACATTTTTTTGTATGCTGCATGGTGGCCAACAAATTCTTGGGGGAATTTGCGTGCACTAATTCCAAAATGACCATTTTCCTCAATCAGCTCCTATTTTTGCGATATTGTGAGAAACCTCTTTTATTTCAAATCGGATTTTTTTATTTAAAGTTAGTGTTATTTAAAACCAATACCTACATCATTTATGCAACCATTTTGTTATAACAAAGGGAAATTTAGATCACTGAACACTAACTGACTTTCTTTTCCTTTATGCCTTCAATTAATTTTTAGTACTCCGTTTCCAGAACAATTCAATATGTAACAGCAGATTAATTTATTTTTAAATAAAATTTTTCAACAAACTTAGTCTTCTGCTTTCTCATAAAAATCATTATTAAGCAAATTTCACAAAAAAAATCAAACCCGTTATATATTAAATTAAACCGGAGATCACCGGTTTAAATTCGTAAATAATATTGTTTTTAGTCAAATACTTTAACCAAGAATCATTGAAAATGTAACTATAAGCAGCAACACTTCACTTTGAATTGAAGATTTGAAGTTTAGACTTTATTCAATGTGGTGATAAATAAATTCCTCTTGATGGTATTGGACACGTAAATGCTTCTATAGCAAGCATTCGTGTGAAAAAGTTAAATGCAGGTGCCGGGTATCGATTCCGGTACCCAGGAGCGTGCTGGCCCGCCGGGCGACCGGGAGTTTCCCGGTGGGCCCTCATAAATTGGCCACAAGGAGCCCCACGACCACGTCGCGAGATAATTTTAAGTTAGCTGTTATTAGCAGGGACTTGTAACAAAACTTCATATGGGAATGAAACTCTGTTTCTGGCGTTATCGTTCCGAGTAACATAAAAAGATTAAAACATAATCAGAAACGGAGCGTTGGAAATCGTTCCCAACAAGTAACAGAAGAGTAACAGAAGAGTAACAAAGGTAAACGAAGCCAAAGGTAACAAAACTAGAAAAACTCTAAGCAGATGAAACACCGGGTATGGAAAAGAAACCAGCAACGCCACCTAAGTGACGAAAGCCTCTTGGTACAGAAACTAGTAACGTTTCTCGTGTATAGAAATTGTAAACTAACCGCATGAAGTAAATTACCCGCTCAATTTACCCGCGCTACTTACAAGCTTGATTAACCTGATTTACCTTCGCGCCTTAAGCTGGGTTCTAACAGAGAAATAACGTAATATAATTTAATTTAACTTTAAAAGTAATTTAATTTAATTTACTTGCGTTCATACAAAAAGTAACGTAATTTAATAGTGTTTGAAATTAAAAACAATATTTTAAAGAGAGTGCTTACTTAAAGTTTTAGATATATATGGCTTACTTTGGTAACTACAATCGAAATATTTGTCTTATTAGTAAAACCGTTTACACAAAATAGGTTAGATTCTCCCAAAATAGGTTAGATAATACGAAATAACCTTGAAATAACGTAATTTAATTTAAAAGATAAAAGTTGGCCAACTATTAAATTAAGTTTTAAATTACATCACTGTATGAACGTTACAAAGGATTGTTGGGTTTTTAACTTTTAAGTTAAATTAAATTACATCTTAAATTAAATTACTTTTCTGTTAGAACCAGGCTTTACTAGCGCGTCCCACACGCGAGACTTAAGGCCCATTTTCAATCAACTCTCGTGCTAGAGTGGGAGTCAGAGTGCAAGCTTGCTTTGTGTATTTCATAGTATTCTTTTCATTAAAATCTGACTCCAGCGCATAATCCCCCGTACGTGCTAAAGCTAAGAAGGTGCAAGGTTTCGTCACAGTACACACCACAATGGTGTGTATACTGTGGTTTTGTGCTGGGAGATATCTTTAGCCACAGTAGACATTAAATCGTGTGCTAGTGTGGGACAACGAAGATTTAAGCTGCCTACTATAATATTTAAAACATTTGATGGTAATGTTAAGAACTGGATGACATTTTTGGCACAGTTTCAGAAGGTGCATAATGATGAGAGCATAGATTCTAATGACAAGATTGAGCATTTGGTTCAAGCCACTGTACCTGGCAGTAGGGCCAGACAGCTTGTTGATGGCTTTCCTGCAATTGGGAAAAACTACCAAAAAATTATTGATTCATTGATGATGAGGTTTGGCAGGGAAGACATGCAAATGGAGATTTCAGTAAGGAAACTTTTGAAGTTGATAATAAAAAATTCAGTTTAAAACCACAAGATGGATCTGTCGCTTTTATATGATAGAATTGAAACACAATTGTGAGCTCTGGAGTCGTTGGGCTTAACGTCAAATAAGTGTGCGGCCATGCTTTTTCCGCTGATTGAATTATGCCTTCCAGACAGTGGCGTAATAAGCACCCCCGCAGACCCCGCACCGCGGGGGGGCCAGACGGTCAGGGGGCCCAAGGCTCACCTCACTCTTTAAAAGTTTAAACCAATAAATTAAAGAAATATTTAATTTTTTAAATATTTCATCTTAAAAAAAATTAAAAATCCTAAAAACCTAAATTATAAGTATTTTTTAAATATTTATTTAATTCGTTGATTTTAAACATGCGCGAGAAATAAAATGCGGTTGTAGCGCCATCTATTAAACGCTTTTCCAAATGTTAATATTTGCTAAATTAACAATGTTATTTCTTATATTTTAATTCTATGGTTATTTGGTTTAAAAGTTATGCAAGCATTATTTGTTAAAAATAGTTAAAATTTAACAATTTAAAAAAAATTAAATTAAATGCAATACGACAAAATATTAACTTTATAGAATTACATACCATGGGTGGATAAAGAGGCAACCAAAATTAATTATATATTTTCTGTTTTTTAATTATATATTTTCTGTTTTACTACCAAAAATTGCAGATACAGGCTGTATCTGCAAATTTTGGTAGTGAAACAGAAAATATTTAATTAATTTTAGTTTAAAAAATCTTATTATATATACCTTTTTATTTGCAGATCATTTTCGTAATTCTACATATATCTCATTGGGATTCTTTTAAAAAAATATTTAAATAATAATTACCCAAATATTTTCTGTTTATTATATAGGTAATTATAATTCTGTTAACAAACGATAACTACACTTGAACTTAAATAAGTTTTTACGCATGTGCGAATTTGCAAAGAAGCATATTCTCGATAAACAGTTTTTATTAAAAACACAGCCATTTTTCTTACCTAATCCTTTTTTATTTGCTTATCTTATGTGACATAAGTTATGCCTGTCTATCGTATACACTCTTTATCTATCTATATTTTAATTTTAACTAAAAAATATTATGTATTTAATGTGGGTTTAAAAGTACTATGATAAACTAATTTAAAAATTACCTAATGGTAATAATAAACTTTTTACTCATTGTAAAGGGGGCCCATTAAAATCGTTTGCGGGGGAGCCCACTTAGAATTTGTTACGCCACTGCTTCCAGAGGAATTGATACGCGTCTGGCAAAGATCGTCCTTGGGCAATACGGGAGTGGATTCTCGTTCGTGTTCTACAGAGATACTTGACGTGGGAGATTCAACTTTGGAGGTTCGGTTAAAGAATCTGATGTCATTTTTACGGAACGAGGTGGAAAACGAACAAAGAATAAGTTTGGCAACTGAAGGTTTTGGACTACAGAATGTTAACCTTTGCAAAAGTCGAAGTCAATTATCTGATTCCAGATTAAAGCGAAAACAGGAATCTGGAATTCCAACTGCAACAGGTTTAGTCAATCGTGAGTCAACAATCAAATGTGTTTTTTGCGACGGGAAACATGAAAGTATGAAATGTTTCAAGGCAAGAGATATGACGCTGGAGCAACGTAGAAGTACCCTAGTGAAAAGAAATGCTTGTTTCAACTGTTTGAAAATTGGGCATGTTTCAAGTAGATGTAGTAAAATTGAGATGCATAATGTGTGGAAAGCAGCACGAGGCGATAATGTGTTCTAACAGGACCGAGCCCAAGTTTGGGGAAAACAGCAAAGCTACATCCAGCAAAGAAAATAAGACTGTTGGTACGTCTTCCAAACGAGAAACAAAGTTAGTTCACTGTTTATTTGGAGGGCTTACGTCGGAAAAGGCGCATCACTGTTATAATATTGAGGTCAGATATGAAGCTTTTAAAGAAACATTTGAGGCACTATCTCAACCAGTTATTTGTATCGAGGTGCCACCGGTGTTTTCTGGGCCAATTGAACTGCTTATTGGATCAGACATCGTCGGAAAACTATTCACAGGTAGGAGGCATGAAACGAGTTGTGGATTAGTGGCTGTAGAGACTACTCTAGGGTGGACTCTTATGAGTAAAGTTCCAATAGTAGGAGATGATCGGAGTACTACCATGACTGAAATTTCCCTGTTTGTCAAGGACGCCTCCATAACCAACTTGTGGGAGTTGGATGCTCTGGGTATAAAAGACCCAGCGGAGCAGATTTCTGAAGAGAATCGTGCGCAAGGCTGCCTTGGATAGAAGGACATCCACCTTTACCTAACAATTATGCCATGGCGCATAAACGATTGTGCAATACTTATAAGAAGTTATGTGCTGAGGATTTTCTCGAGTCGCACGAGTTGGTCTTTGGGCAATGGTTTCAAAATGGGATAATTGAAAGAGTACCTAAAACCAGCGGACGAGATGAACATTATCTACCACACAGACCTGTTATCAAGGAGGGGAGTACTACGAAAATCAGACCGGTTTTTTATGATTCAGCGAGGGAAAAAGCTAGACCTTCCCTGAACCAATGCTTGGAAAAGGGTTTAAATCTGATAGAGATCATACCGGAGATTTTGTTGAGATTTTGAAAAGAAATAGTCTGGGTAACTGCAGACATTAAGCAGGC